TTTGGCAGAGACCCACAGGAAGTACGTCTGGCAGGGGCAAGAAAAAGAGTTGTTATTTCCAACAAAACAAGAAAGCAAAGCACAGCATCCTGAGAGAGGAGCCTCTTTTGCTTGTGTCCATCTGGGCCCAGCCTAGGAGCCCATAATCCTGGCAATTTCCTGGATGTTCTTTCTTTGCTCCCACTGCCATTGTTTGCCCATGGCCACTCCCTGTCCTGTCTAAATTGTTCCTGTCTGACCTCTTCCCTCCTTGGCACTGTCCCAGAGCAGGTGGTCCTCTGTGCAGGACCTCAAACTGCAAGGTAACCCCTGCCCTGACTGTCCTTCTCCTCCTCTGTTCTTCATGGAAAAGGAGGCCTGGCTGGATGGGGGCTGCTTAGAGTTTGTGACAAGCCAGAATGTCACAGGATGGGAACAAATTTAAATCAATGCCTTAAAGTGAGTTGCCCCAGGGAGGGAGAAGATGTGGGCTGGATGGGGCTGAGTTAAGCCTCTGCATTTGCTGTAGGGGCAGTTGAACTATGTTCATGAGATCAGAGCTCTTCCACTGGTGCCTGTGTCTCTCTACCCCTCCCTGAGACTGAGCAGAACCATCTCACCTGGACAACCACGAATATTGCCTGCACAATGGGGTAGATGATTTTGATTGCAGACAGGCAGCTGTAGAAGCTTGAATAATATCCTATTTTGAACACATCCATGACAAGGCTGAAAATGGCAAATAGAATCAGGCCTCCTGTTGAGGAACAAAAATATCTGTGGTTGGACAGATATGTGAACACGTGGGCTAATGCAGATAGATGAGAGGAAGAAGAGGAACTGTTGTCATGTTGCTTCTACCACTGTTTCTCCTTTCCCAGCACCCGAATTATCATGGCACCAACAGAATTGTACAATAATTTTGGTTGGAATGGATTTTCATTCAGCCCTGTGCTCTGGGGTTAACAGCTCTGGCAAAAGCTGAGAAGGATCTTAGGCCGGGAAGGATCCTGGTGTAAATTACCAAGAGCCCTTGTGGATACAGGGAGACCTGGCAGTGAATCCAGTGAGGGGAGCAGGAGCTGACCTGAAGCAGGGCATGGTGCCATGCCCCAGAGCAGGAGGAGGCTGTGCCCACATGGTTGCTGCTTCCCTTGTAATAACTGATGCTCCTATGAACTCTCCACCCTGTACCTCCCCTCCAACCCCAGCCCCTGAGAGCTCCTACCTCTCAGCCAGATGGGCCCAGCGTGGGAGTCCTTGCACAGGATGGCACCTGGGCACCGGGAGGTGCCGGCGAGGTAGAAGATGATCCATATGATGACTATCAGCATCATGACAGTCAGCAGGAAGAACACATCGTAGTCGTGCACGGCGATCTTCTCAAAGGCCCCGCTGCTCACCAGCGTGCAGGCCAGCAGGGCCAAGTGCACGGCCAGCAGGATGGAGAACATGCGGCCGCCCTTTTTCCACACTTCCTTGGAGGCAGGAGTGGAGGGGGCCTGGTGGCTGAAAGATGCTATCTGGCTCAAAGCCAGGCTGGCTTTGTCGTCCTTGTGTCCGCAGCCCATGCTGCAGTTGGGGTGCCCGGTCTCGCTGTCCTTCCGCCTGGGCTCTTCGGTCATGGTTCAGCCAATGCTCTGTCTGAGGGTCAATGCTGTTGGGAGGAGAGTCCCATGAATGAGAGGTGCCACTTCATTTGGAACAGTCCAGGGCTGGACTAAAGCAGGACACGTGATGAGGAGGAGAGGACGTATCAGAGGAACGGGGAAAGCTGAGACGGGGACTGCAAGACAAGGGATGAGCTCATTCTCAACCTTTCCTTTCCTGGTTGCCCGAAGGCTGCTGTTGCTTAAGATGCTTTTGCTCGGGGAGATCCCAGGTCAGTTTACCAAAGCGTTTCTAATTGGTCACCTATCACATTTACGTGTTTATTGATGCAAGATACTGGAAAAGCACCAAAAAAGTGCTCACGGGATCAAATATCCCGGGGCAAATGGCCAGTGTGGTTTTGATTTCTAAATGCCAAATACTAGACATTCCAAGAAGTTGTTATACTTCCTGGCTGAAGAACAGGCCAAGAAAAAGGTAAGAAACCCCAGAATCTTTGGACCATTACATCATAATTTTTACCAGTTCCTGCAAGAAGGGTGTGAGCCCTCTCTGCTGTCACACCCTCTAAAGCCCCTAGCCCTTGCCAAGTTTGGAAGTTCATTGATTCTCAATGAAAAGCCTGAAACAAAGCCATTTCACCAACCTGTTTTGCTGCCTGGGATCCAAATCTCTGCTCTTGCCAGGCTGAGAAGTTTCCCTGTAGCTGCAGCTTGGTCAATCGAAGAATTTATACCCGTTGGGATGTCTCTGTGATTTATACCATGTCTGGAGCTGACAGCAGGGCTTCGTGGGCTTCTCAGAGAAACTCATGTGATCCATTTTGTGCAATAGCTGATTTTGGGGAAGCTGGACAAAGACAGGGAGATAAGGGTTATTTACCCAATGAGAGCATGAGTTGACAACACTGCTAAGCATGGCATGGACCGCTCGGTCACAGGGTCATGGTCACCAGAGAGCAAAGCCACCCCATCAAACCCATCTCCCTGCATCCATGAGATCTCTTCCCTTGAGAGAAGATGGTTTAGATGTTGCTGATGATGTGGTGCTTGGTTTTCTGCTTAACTGAGCACAACAAATATTGTGCCTCACCCTGTCTTATTCAAATCAATCTGCTCTAGGCCTGGAGCGTTTTTGAGGAAAAAGGAAGAAATTTGCATTTGCATCTGTTCAGTGCCAAGGGTAATGTAATCCTTTCCCACCCATGATGGCAACAATGAGGAAGGCTGAGCACCAGAGCAGGGCAGGATTTGGGGACCGTAAGTCATGTTCTTCGACTTTGCTGACGCACTGCCTTTGATTTTTCAGGGTGGGACCACCTTTCTCTGGCCCTTTCTCAAGAACTTAACTCCTCTCCTTCCAAGGAGGAAGTCATGTTATAAACTACAGTGCAGATGGGATTCAAGCTTTTGCCAGGTGAGGTGAGAGCTTCTGCTCTCTTTCTCCCCAGCTTATGTTTTGTGGAGGAGATGGGGGGGACCCAGGGCAGTTCTCAGTGGATGGGGATGAGTTTTAATCCCTGAAAATGCCTCTTTTGGAGATGTCCCTACCGCTTTCCCCCTCTAGGGCCCAGCACAGAGGCTGTTTGCTGTGTGTTTTCTCAGTCCTGTTCCTGCCTGCTCACCACCGCGCTCCTTTGAGCACTGCAGGGACAGCACCAAACTGAGCTGCGTGGGATGGTGAAGGAGAGCTCAGGATCAGATCTCCATGAATCCCTCCCGTGCTGCCACCAGCCGGCTGCCACCAGCACTGGGTCTGGCCTGCTGATTCTTAGGGCTTCCTTTCGGGAGGAGCAGTTGAAATTTTCTCAGTCTGTAGCCTCTCCCAGGGGAAGCCCAGGCCTCCCCGAAGTAAAACTGAGTGGATAATGATGTTTTGCAGAAGGCAGAGGTTCAGAGGCCCCTCGGGCTAAATGCACTGGTTTATCCACCCTCTTTTGTCCTTAACAGCCAGTAACAGAGGAAAGAGTGTTTACTGCCTCGGGCAATGCTCCCAGTCCCCCTGCAGCGACCTTAGAACACTCGTTTCACGACAACAGCAGAACAAACTTAATTAATAATAACACAAGAATCATTAAATAACCTCGGTAATGAATTGCAGACGTTACTGTGCTGCTTTTTCACCTGGAAGGATCCTGGCAACAAATACCTCCGTGGCTACTAAATCCATCAGGACTCACCCGGGGAGGCTGAGCTGGCACAAGCAAACCTGCCGAGGTGAGCAAACCCTGCCGGGAGCAGCAGACCCTGCCTGGGGCACTTACAGGTGTCCCCAGGCAGCTACGACAGTCACTCCGTGTCTGTCACCCAAGGGTTAACCACTGCAGCTTGTCTGGGTGCACCTGGCACTGCTTTAGGGCCACCCTCCTGTCCTGGGGCATTTTTTTCCAGCCCTGGAGATCTCCCATTCCCAGAGCCAGGACATGACAGGCAAAACGAACAAGAGAGCGGCAGGAAATTGCTCCCCACAACAGCATGTCCCAGGAGATACAATTCACCTTTGGGTGCAATGTGCTGGGACAACTGTGTGCTTTGGTCAACATCCAGGCTTGACTCTATCTTTCCCGACAGCAGAGGGTGCCCGGGGCCCAGGAATACTGTGCTTGAGGCATTGCCTGGGGTTGTCCAGCTCCCCGAGGGTCTCACCCAGCCAGGAATTCTGTGTCAGCATAAAAGACACCAGAGGCCAGATACTGCACCCCCATGCACTGACAGTGAAGCACCGAATTACAGATGGGAGTGGGCTTGGTGTTGTTTTAGTCTTCAGAGAGGAAAACAGGGTGAGGAAAGGGATTTTCCCAGCCTGAGGAAGGGGATTTTCCCAGCCTATACAAGTTTCTTTGGTTTATCAAGGATTCCTGTTGTGCAGTTTGTTGTGCAATTCCCTGGGAAGCAGAATTCTGTGGGTATAGGCAGGGTAGAAGGGGGACAGGGATAGTGACTGGCTCTGCTGTTATCTTCCTAGTGGCACTAGGGATTTATATATGGATGGATAGATAGATAGATGGATAGATAGATAGATATAGACTCACTCCTCCTCCTGAGGCTGCTGCTGCTCCTCCCTTGAGATGGGGTAGTTATGGAGAGGGGCATGGAGGGGTATCAGGCAGGATACAACCTATGAGCCTTTCTGGCAGCCTGCTCTGCTTTGGGGACGTGCAGACCTGGCGAGTTGTCACTGTGTGACCCCGTGCCCAAGTTCTGGGCTGAGCCCGACGCAGTGATGCTGCTTAACTGGAGCTTTTAATGCGCCGTGGAGCTGGTGTGTGTTACAAAGAGCCGTCGGGGCCGGAGGATGCTTAGGACCCAGGGGAAGCGCTGTAGAGCCTGGCTGGCTGAGCTTGGAACAGCTCCTGCCTCGCCGGCCGGGACTTCTCAGGTGTCCTGGTACTGCGGAGCTGTGCGAGGCGAGCGGGGCCCTCCTGGCAGCTCCCCCTGCCTCACACCCATGCCCGTCCCCTGAACCCCCTGGGCACCCATGTGCTCGCCCGGGGACCGCTCCCCACCATGAATGACCAGTACCACCGGGCCGCCCGGGACGGCTACCTGGACCTGCTGAAGGAAGCCACCAAGAAGGACCTGAACTCGCCGGATGAGGATGGCATGACCCCGACCCTATGGGCTGCCTACCACGGCAACCTGGATGCCCTGCGCCTCATTGTCAGCAGAGGGTGAGTGTGGGCGAGTGCACGGTGCTGGTCTGGGGGGTGGAATAGCCGGGAACCCCATCTTTCCCCCTTCCCTGCTCGCAGGTCAGTGTGCCCCAAAAAATGATGCATTCTATCATAACACCCCTGTTCCTGTCTTCCCCACCATTATTTTTCTCTGCTCGTGGTGCTTCCAGTCTAATCCAGCACTCCTGATAACCGCTCTCTGTTTTCCCAGCTCCTCTGACCCTGCAACCACTCCTGCCCCCAGCCCTGTTTACAGCTCCCCTGGTGAGGATGGGTCCCCCTACAAGTGTTTCATGGTCCTTTACAGGTCCTGTTAACACAAACACATTAGGGCACTGACATGAAAAAAGCCCTTTTAAATGAGGGGGCAGAGAGAATAACTGCTCCTTCTGTCCCAAGAATGCTCACAGAGGGATGTGTGCAGTGCCTGCTGGCAGTGGGTGACCCTTGTCTGTTTTACCCGAAGCAAGGTCTCAGCATGTGACCCCCGGGCAGCCTCTTGTGCACCTGGAGCCCAGGAAATTCAGGAGCAGGTTTTCCAAGAGCAGATTTCTTTAAGCCCAGTCTCCCCCACAGGGGTTGCTCAATGCTGGTGTGTCTCTCTGTACCTCACCCTCGGCTGCTAAATCTTGGGGTTTCTGGCTCTGTAAGAGTGGATGTGGTGGAGAGGAGGGAGTGGGACTGAGGAGACTTGTCAGACTGGTAGGATTTACACCTTGGTGTTAGGGGAACTACTCTTGAGCAGTACATGGCCCTCCTGTTCTTACCAAACCCCAAGGTCACACATGCCAGCGCTTCCTTCCACTCTGGTAGCTTTTCTGAGCACCTTACCTAAAGGCACCCAAGGTTGAGAGACTGGTGGCTGATTTTGATTCATGCATTTCTAATATTGAGGAATATTGAGGGAGGTCAGCAGCAGCCTGGATGTTCGTCGTGCATCCTTGGAAGGGCTTTGCTTCTCCATGTTGGGCCAGGGCTTGGTGGGGCTGTCAGCTCCCACGCAGGGACTTTCTGGTTCCAGTGAGGGCTGTGTTAGCAGCTCTTGTATTTGGTCATCCACATCTCCACTGTGCCTGTTCCTGGGCTCTCAGCATCTCCTGAAACTCTGGTTTTCTTGTGCAAAACCTTCAGCCAGCTCCCCAGCTGCACTCAAAGGCAGAGCTCCTCCACCCATTGCTGTCCTTCAGTTATAAAGCATTTCCTCTCAGATCCTGGGGTCAGAAAGGCTGCGTACAGAGTTGTTTTGAGAAATCCTTCAGCACCTGATGCAATAGGAGTGTGGTCAGGAAAAGATTATTTCAGAGTCCAGAGGGGACAGTGCAAGACCGCTCCGAGTGGAGCATTCCAAGATGGTCCTGGGCTGAGAGTCCCGTGATGCTTCCCTGGGTGGGGGCTCTGTGGCTCACTCTGCACCTCCCAGGAGAGATTGTGCCCAGCAGAAACTTTCCTTGAGATCCTGCTGGGAGGGGAATTGCCATCCAGGGACAGAGAGACAAGGGCAGGAGAGCTCTGGGCATGAGATCTTGAAGTAGAAATGGTTCCAAAGACTCTTTGATGGCCAAAAAGTTGATCTGGAAGGCCCATGCTGTGAATGAACACTCCTCCAGAAAGGCAAAGCCGTTCAGACTGACTTTGTAATCTCTTTATATCACTGTATCTCCTTATATTGCTCACCTACATCACAGGGCACCCTGCAGCACCACTGCCTGCCCTGTCAACCCCCATCCAAGCCAGCAGTTTCTGCCTCCCCACAAAGCCCAAGGGTTGCTTTTTCATGGACGAGCCCCTTTTATAAATCCACATTGGATTAAAAGGTCCTTGTGGGCTCAGTCGTGTCTGAGTGCAGCTTGGCTGCTGTTTAATTAACAGCCTAATATACATTTGTTCCTGACAAGGAAAATAGCCTGGCAAAAGCCCAGTGCCCTTTACATGATGGATAGTGTAGCAAAGTGTGCAGCTGTGGGACTGCAGGATGTGTTTGTATCCGTGCATTCATCTCCATGTGTCAGATCCTTGCCCAGGGCCACACAGAGACCAGAGAAGTGCTCGGCATGGAGGCAGGCATGTGCCTGCTTCCTGGAGCAGGAGAGGTGGGAAAGCCCCAGCCTGGGGACAGGGGTGCCAGAGAGGTGAAATTGCGCAGGACCCAGGAGAGCCTGAGAGCAGAACCCTGTAATTTTCTGCCCTCAGTGCTTGTGCTTAGGAGGATGTGCCATGGTGTTCGAGTCTTGGTCAGAGATGAAATGTAATGCTGTGTTGTACATGTTACTGTCACACCTGCACTATCACAGCTGGGAGGCAAGAGGAAGGATTCCTCAATATCCCAAAATGTCAGGGAATTTCTCTCTGGCCTCTGCAGCGAAAATATTCCTCCTTTGGTACAGAGAGCCCTGCACTGCGAGGCAGGGGAGTGTGGGACCATAGCATGGAGTGGAGGCTTGGGAGCTGGGCTGGCTCCGTGCAGGGTTTGAGGGGGCTGGTGAGCCTCCAGCTGGGTTCCAGGGGGATGTCAAAGTACAGAGAGTGATGGGAGAGTCCCAAGGCATTAAGAAACACCAAAATCTCCTTGCCAGAACTGGGCAATGGTACCTGTGCCCAAACAAGCCGGGAGATTGAGTGCTGGGGCCAGGCTGTTACGAAATGTCCTAGTGAGGGCACCCAGAGAAAGAAGGGCTGTGGGAGGGGGCCAAGATCATGGCTCTGATGGTCACGCCGGGCTGATGGACACTTGGGGTTACCTAGATTCTGTCATCAGTGGAGGAGACTCATCCACATACTGTGTTCAGCAGATTGTGGTGTTGGGCTGAAATGGAGAGGGGCAAAGAAAATATAATAAATCAGTTGACAGGTCCTTGAGTAAAACTTGTTGCCTCAATGCACAGGGAAAGGGTAATGAAGCAGCTTATTGCTCTGTCCATAGCAGCTGGTGATGTGTCCGTGCCTCTGTGCCCCCTTTGCAAGGGGATGGAGGGAGGCTTTGGGACAGAGGGATCAGTAGTGGCTCATCCTTCTTGTCTGCCACACAAAAAGCCTTTTTCTTCCTCCTGGCTGGGCTCCAGCGAGGAAAACAAACTCAATTAACATGATGGCTGGGAAGAAGCAGGCTAGCTGGCATTTAGCACTGCAGCTTTTCAGAGGCAGTAATTCTTCAGCATGGTTCGTTATGACCTGCCGGGGCAGTGGCGGGCACCAGCCCAGCTCCAGTTAGCTGCAGTTCTGGGGGCCTTGAAGGGGAACAACCAGGACTTCTTTGGATTTGACCACAGGAGAGGTGAGGATGTGTCTGCAGGTCCACACTCAGCTTTACCACCCAGCATTCTTTTGCAGAGGTGCTCCTCAGTCTCCCTTCTTACAAAGACGGGGGTCATGGATGCTTTGGATGTCAGTGGCAGAGGGGACGAGTGGCTCAGCTGTGGGCTGGGGGTGACGGTGGCTCCTGACATCAGCCAGGCTGCTCCAGGGCATCACGTCACCCCGGCTGGGGTAGGATTGCAGCGGAGGTTGCAGCAAGGCACGTGAAGGTGATGTGCATCCTCTGCACACCACAGGGCTGGAGCAGCATATCTGTGTTGGTGGGGACCTTCCCGTGGGCAATGACCTGCCAGGAAGGTGAAGGAGCAGGGTGGAGCATTCTTGCAGCTCCATTGCTTCCGGCACCTGAGCTGTCTGCTGGCAGTGAGGGTGAGCCCTGGGCATGGTGCTGAGCCAGCAGACGTGCCCCCGGGCACTGCCACAGCACTAACAATCACCAGTCACAGTTACTGCCAGCCTGGCTGTTTGTTGGGACAAGAGGCAGAGAGCCCTGAGATGACCCTCATCTGTGCTGGATTTTTGGGGATCTGAACTTAGGGAATAGCTGAATTCTTGACCTACCACCACCTGGGCAAAACTTGGGATACAGAACCCAAAGCTCTGCTCTGAGTCCAAAACCTCATCTTTTCTGCTCATTTCTATGCCTTGATTGGGTCATTGCCTTGACTGGCTGGGCTGAAAGTAGTGAAGATTGTTCCTCAAGCCACAAATTATCTTTTTTTCCCCCTCTTCCTCTATCTAAAAACATTTTATGGGAGCCAGAGACACGCTGCTACCAGCTGGCTCCTGGTCCCACGGCCCGATTCCTCACACACACCCATGAGCCAAGGGTGAGCCAGCCCATTGCTATTGGAGGAACTCCACACACGCAGCCAGGGAAGCACATATGTAAGTGCCACTGGATTCCCCGGCTAATTGGGATCCCATGGGAGAAGTGGAGGGGGAAAACCGGCAGGAAGGGAGTGAGCGTGCATGTCATGGTGCAAACACAGTGACTCAGGAGATGCACACGTCCACCTAAGGGGCCCAATTAACAGTGTTTTTAATAATGATTATTACAGTTGACTCAGCACTCGAAAACGCCTTGAAGTCGAGAAGTGCTACACTTTACACCTGTTATTAAAATACGTTCCCACTTAGTGGACCCTGCAGTCAGCATCTCCTCATGTGCAGCGCCCCGGAGGTGAAGTTTTGCTCAGACAGACACCTGCCAGAGGGAGGGCCTCATGTTTATTATCTGAGCTGGATCAAACATCCCTACTTTGCAAGTCACCATTCTTCTTTCCTTCTGATGCATTTTTAGCGCCTGCGGCAGCCATTTATAGGGCAAAGGCCCTGAGATAACTAATTTTTGCTCCAATACTCTTGTTTCTAGACACTGGAAATGTCTAAAGAAAGCTGGTTTTGCTGCTCTTTCCCCTCACTCTCTGATGAAAGTAGACCTTCAAATACGAATCCCCCAAGACCTGCCGGGATTTTCCCTCTGACTCCTGAACTGGACAGACACAAGAATAGGCTCCAAGATGCACTTTACAGTTTCAGCATCCACACACTTGGCTTGAGGAGCAAAACTATTTGCAGTGAGTTCACTGCTCAGTCACTGTCCACATCACGAGTCCAAGTATATGTTGAGACCCTCGTGGTGCCCTGGCTCACCTGCCCACATGCCAGGCCCATTCAGAGCACATATAAACAAACCAACAGCCTTCACATGCTCCAGTCCCACTGCCAGCACCAGCAGTTCCAGTTTCACTGGCTCTTTAAATCCAGCTCCATCAATAATTTACTCCTCTCTTGCAATTCATCAAATATTTATCCTCCCCATGCATTTCCCAGCCTGGACATGTCACTACGAGGGTAGAGGCAAGGGCTGGGGAGTTACCACTCCTTGAAACTCAGCATTGCTGGAGCACTGGCAGCTCCTTCCTCTCCTTTTTTGGCTTCATGGCTCCTCAACCCTGTGATCTCCTGCCCTCCTCCTCATCACCCATCTTTGAAGCCCTTCTCTGCTTCTATGAGAGGTGTCAAAGGCTCTGGCTACAGAAGTCCTGCAGGGTTTGTGGGTCTTTTTGGCCCTTACACAGTTCTGAACCTTTTGAACAACTTGCTGAATTTGCCAGAGGGCTCAAGGTTGTACTTACTAAGTTTCTGTAAATGTTGTGAAAACATGTGGATGGTGGAGTTACTGCTCATGTTCCCCCAGGGAAAGCTGAGTGCACCTTGTAGCAGCTCTCAGGGAATACAGGCAGGAAGCTCATGCTCTGGGTCCAAATAATCTCCAGTTTAACCTCTGGACACTTCTGAACAGCCTGAGGATTGTCAACTCGGTATTACACTGGCTGGGTGGCTCTGCTCTGGCTCTGCTGTTCCCTGGACAGCAGGGTCCCAAGATGGGCAGTGGGGTCCCTGCCTTCATTGTGGGGGTGAATGTGCTGAATAAGGCTGTTCCTGGGGCTTGTGTGTTGGCACTAGTGAAGAAGGTGCAAAGCAGCAGGGGAAATAGGTCCCTCTGCTCCTGCGATCTCCTGTTCTTCTTCTGGAGTAGTTTTCAGATCCTTTGAAGTGAGACAAGCCATAGCACAGAGCACATGGTATTTGGAAGAGGTTTCTGGCCTCTGCTGCTCCCAGCTCTTGTTGACACAGATTCTAAAGCAGCAAGGAGTTAAGTAACACAGGCTGAAGGTCTCAAGTGTGCATTTCAGGAGCTGGACTTGATGATCCTTGTGGGTCACTTCCAACACTAAATATTCTATGATTTGCCTTCTGCACTCCTGGTGTCACCATGGATTGGAGCTGAGGTCTCTGTGGTGGAGAAACAGTGCTCGGTTCCTCTGGAGCTCATCAAAAGGGTGGCACAGAAATGTCAGGGCCCTGCTGCCCACAGGAGTAGCTTTTGAGGGTGGTGGAGCTGCACAGCCTTAATAAAAGGCTTTCCCTTATCCATGTGCAAGGAGGGAGAGTGCCTTGTTGACAGATACTGCTGCTGGCTGCATATCATTAGCACATGCTCAGGAGAAGGCTGGTGCCAGCAGGGGTGTGAACTATCTCTTGTTTCACCCCAACACAAATACAGAGGAATGTCAGGAGGAGAGACTTCCCTTGAATCCCAGGTTTGTGTCCGTCCTGTCACGGCAGGCAGGAGATGTGGGCAAGCGGTTGTGTCCTGTCAGCAGCTTGTTGAGGCAGGGGCTGGCACGGTGTGAGAAGAGATGCTAATGGCAGTAGTCGAGTGCCCAGCTCTTGAGGAGTGCAGAAACCTAATCTCTACTTTCTCTGAAACTGGATTCTCAGGATGTGCTAATACCAATGTGCTCCAAGCCGTGCAACCGAGACCAAGCACAGTGCAGCAAAATCCCCCACAAAACCCCCACGCCAAGGCCAGTGTCAGCAAATTCACTCTTATTCTCTACTGCCAACGGGCCCCTTGAGCCCCAAATTTCCCCAGGAACCAAGGAACAGGAGGGTGGGAAGGTGCAGCAGGTGGTGGGTGTCAGAACCATTGCTGAGGAGTCTCACAGTGGTGCTACTGTGATGGTGGGACCCCAAGGTGTCCCATCCAGGATGTGGGGTACAGAGAGCCATTTTGGGACACCCCTCTGCAGAATGTGAATGAAGGCAAGATCTGAAGATAGAATCTGACTAGAATTTAAAGGGACATTTGAGATTTGATATTTTATAACAAGCTTAAGGCCTGAGCTGGAATCAGCCCCACATTTCAGCTCTGGGCTATTCAGAAGCTGTCTTGCCTCCCTCCAAAAGTTGGCTTAATGCAGGAGCATATTTTTCCTTTGACCTAAATTGAGGTCATGGGAATTGCCACAGATTTGCATGTCAGGCAAAATGATTCCATGTCAGTGGTACACCCCTCCAGAAGACCCCTTTAAAATTAAGCTATGGAGGTCAGAAGAGTGTAGCTTCACATTTCAGGGAGTCAGCACTTCATGGTACTGATTTGCCCCTGCACAGCTGGGAATATCCCAGCAGAGTCTGTCAGCTCTGCCCGAATGCTAACTGGTTGTGTTTCTTGCTGTCTAGGGGTGATCCAGACAAATGTGACATCTGGGGGAACACCCCTCTCCACCTGGCAGCAGCCAACGGCCACCTGAACTGCCTTTCCTTCCTCATCTCCTTTGGGGCCAACATCTGGTGCCTGGACAACGACTACCACACCCCGCTGGACATGGCAGCCATGAAGGGGCACATGGAGTGTGTGCGGTACCTGGACTCTATTGCTGCCAAGCAGAGCAGCCTCAACCCCAAGCTGGTGAGCAAACTGAAGGACAAGGCCTTTCGTGACGCGGAGAGGAGGATTAAGGACTGTGTGAAGCTGCAGAAGAAGCACCACGAAAGGATGGAGAAACGGTACAGAAAGGAGATGTCAGATAACTCAGATACCATGAGCTTTTCCAGCTATTCAAGCAGCACCTTAAGCAAGAAGTTCCAGCACATGTCTATGGTGACCTCCCTGCCATACTCACAAGCCACCATCCATGGCACAGCCAAGGGAAAGACGAAAATACAAAAGAAACTAGAGAAGAAGAAGCAGGTGGATGGGACATTCAAGATCTACGAGGATGGGAGGAAGAGTGTGAGGTCTCTGTCTGGCCTGCAGCTGGGCAACGACGTCATGTTTGTGAAGCAGGGCACGTACGCCAGCCCCAAGGAGTGGACTCGCCGTAACATCAGAGACATGTTCCTCACGGATGAAGACACTGTCTCCCGTGCCATAAGTGACCCAGGCTTGCACATGGACTCGGCCCACTCTGAAGTCAGCACCGACTCTGGCCACGAGTCCCTGTTCAACCGCCCCGGGCTGGGCACCATGGTGTTCCGGCGCAACTACGTCAGCAGTGGGCTTTTCGGGATCGGCCGGGAGGATGGGGGCACGCTGGGAGACGACAACACAGACGGGATGGGTGTCAAACTGCGGAGCCGCCTGCAGCGCTCGCCAAGTCTCAACGACAGCATTGGCAGTGCCAACAGCCTGCAGGAGAGGAACGCGGAGGAGCTGCCCTGGGACGAGGTGGAGCTGGGCTTGGACGACGATGACGAACCAGACACCAGCCCCTTGGAGACTTTTCTGGCTTCCCTGCACATGTTTGAGTTCATCTCCATCCTGAAGAAGGAAAAGATTGACTTGGAGGCCCTCATGCTATGTTCAGACAATGACCTGAAGAGCATCAATATCCCACTGGGCCCCAGGAAAAAGATTGTGGATGCCATCCAGAGGAGACGACAAACTCTGGAGAACCCAGATGTCATTGTAGACACTGAACTGTAAGTAGGAGATGGGGCCTCTGAGCGGTTAAACCCTTCAGCAGGTGGAGATGTGGATAACGTAAGGTCTTGTTTTCAACCCGCTTGGAAGAGTAGGAGTTCAGGTAACCTCAGCACTTCTGTGTGTGGGCAAATTCCTGCTCGTGTGGAAAGGATGAGAGTTTGGAGAGGTGGCAATAGCGTTAGCTCATTACTCAACAGCCCTAATGTGACTGGGCAGGACGTGAAGCCCTTGTTTCATTTCATAACCAGTATGAATGCTGACTGCTCTGTGGTCTGATGCTTCTCTGTCCCTGTAGCTGAGATTTTCAACCACACTCAGGCTTGTCCTGACTCTTCACCTTTTGAAGACATTAGGAAATCAACCACGGTTCCCGGTGGGAGCAGGCTGACGGCCGTGCCCGGTGGCATTGGGAATCCTTCCCCAAATGCTTGAGATCTTACTCAGACCTCTGGAGACTGCGTATCTGGGTTGGAGTTGTTGCTCTTTTATGGTGTTTCCAGGGTTTGGTTGGGTTGGGCTGAAGGACCGTGTGCCTGAACAGAAGTGAAGGAAGGCATTGGTGTGGGTGTCCCCATGTCCACTGACACAGTAATTCACTGTGTTGTTTGGGCTGCCCAGCCTTCAGATATCTGCATGCTGCTTTTACAGGCTTTCAGTACAGCTCGGTCTTGGATCCTCTGGGTGCTTATAGATTTTTCTCTTTCCCTTTGCAGATAGCATCAGCATCTATTTTTTTTTTTTTAAATGCTCGAGAAACAAACCCAGTTCTAAGTTGCCAGAAAACACAAGCCAGAGACTCCCTTCCTGGGGCAGCTGAAAGCTACAGCCATCCCCACCAGTCCTGCTGGACTGCTCCCTTGCTCTGCTCCCTGTCTGTGCGATGCTCCCAGGCGGTACCTGGTACGGAGGAACGACTGCTGAGATTGGACCAGGCAGCACCAACCTGCCAACCTTGAAGGGACCATGGTCTCCCCCTCACTGGAGGAAGAAGTGACCTGCACAGCTGGCTGGGACACTGCTCTCACAGGCTGTGAGACCACACGAAGCCATGAATGGAAGGAGATAACGTGATATTTTCAAAGCAACCCAGAATAAATAATTACAATCTATTCTTTCTTGAGCACGTGGTTGTTTTGGGGTTTGGGCTTGAAGAACAGAGAGATGGAGAGTTCTGCTCTCTCTCCTGGTTCTCATTTGGTGAGAGGCATCACCTTGTTTGGTGCTGTGTTTTTGTAAGGGAGTTCTCATTACTGTGGTGTGGGGCTGTTCAGCTTGAGACATACCAAGCCTGACTTCAGCCAGCAGGTGCTCAGCACCTTTGTGAGTCTGGTCTGTGCTGTCTTGAGGGCAACAATCTGAAATGAAATGGTGGTTTGAACATGTTGATAGTTGCTGTCTAGTGGTCAAATGTCTGTTTCACAGATGCAACGTTTCTGTCCCATCTTTCCAGGGCACTGAGCTGTGTCAGCAGTTTGTGTGTGAAAGACCTTGACTTTTGCCTCAAGGTTCTTCCCAGGACCAAGCATAACACCGGGCTGCAGCCCAGAGCCTCCTCCAAGCATCCTTGATGCATTAGTGCTCAAAGCACCGCTCTGAACCACAGCATTAGGTGTTCCCACACACCCATCACGATCTTGCTGACCATTGCACACTCTGAGCCCTCAGCTCCCAGCTCCACTGCACCATCTTCCATATGTGATCTATGGATGGTTCCTGGGTGGCACAAGTGTTTCTGGGGTGCAGCAGTGGGATGGGGACCTGGACATATCCTCATGGCCCCTTGCCATGGGGTGCTGGGAATGTGCCTGTTCAGGCTGTGATGCAAACTGCCAGATCAGAGAAATGCTGCAAGTTGTAACTCGTGCTGCTCATCAACCTTATCTCAGGGATGCAAATGATAAGGAATGACCTCTTTATGCTCATCCTGGGTCAGGCTGGGATCTGGACCATGCTTGTCCCTTTGGAGATGTGGGGGCTGTGGTTTGCTGCTTGGAGGATGGGGATTTGTTTGGTGTGAAGCTGTGCTGCTCCCTGCCTGTGCTTGCCCTGGGTGTGTGGGTGTAGGGGAGGAAAATTACTCTTTGCAAGTTAGAAATACTCTTTGCGAGGTGTTTCTCTGCCCTACTGCCCCCTGAGTGGCTGAAGCCCCACTAGGAGAGGCGTAGGGTCCCAGCCTTGTGCCACTGCACACAGAGGTGCTCTGGCATCAGCAAAATACCACCACTGCACTGAGGGTCTGAGATCTTTCTGCACAGATGCAAACTCATTAGCTTTTTAAGTAATTTTAGAGCTAACAGTGCATTTACATTTTAAATTACAAGTTCTGCATAACTCTTGGCTCGATTTCCAGGCAAAAGGGGGAGCGATCAGATGTGCTGAGTCTGCGAGTTTTCCATGAGGGCTGCGCAGGGCTGCGGCCCCGGCACTGTTTTCTTTGGTCCCTCTCCAAAGCCCGGGGCTCCTGTCCTGCAGGGAGAGCTGTGGCTTGGCTGATGTCACAGCTCCCTCTGCCGGGACCAGGTCTGGGAGAGCAGGATAGGACCCACAGCCCACCGGGAGACAAGGACTGCCACCAAATCCGGCTGCGAGCAGGACCTGTACTATAAAGGCCAATTTTCAGGTGAGGTTACGATTGCTACATTCGCCCTCTTCCTCATGCACACGTGTGACTACACCCAACCCCTCTGTCCCTGCTCTGATGACTGGCAGAGCACCAGCTGCCCACCATGAACCAGTTCCCAGCCTCAGTTTCCCCAGGTCTGAATGGTGCCTTTGGGTCCGTGCTGGACACAGGAGGGGAAAAATGTGCTGTGGCTCACATTGCTGTCACTCCAGTGCAATGGGGACCAGTTTATCCCAGCAGATGACAGAGGCAAGTGGATCTATTGGCTTGGCACCCACCAGAGCCTTTTGTGGGCCAGGCACCGGGCAGTGGTGGGTATTTGGGGGCTGCCAGGCAGCTGGGGTTTGCACACTCCCTAACTTTACTTTTTTCCTTAGAAGCACCCAAGCAGTTGCTGATGCTGGCAGAGATCCTTTCTTCCAACTTGTCTTTCCCTCAAAGAGCCAGTGAAAAGTTTTGGTGCCATGACAATACCCAAATGCAGAACATTTTCCTGCACAGGTAAGACCAAAATGCCACTTAGGATCACCAAGTCCTGAGACCACTGTGGTCACCTCCAAGATGCAGGGAGAGACCAAAGCTGGGCTGTGGCACCAACACAGCCTGGCAGAGCCCAAGAGATGGGCTCAGGCCCATTGGCTGCCCCAGGTGAGGTGAGGAGGATGTCTGTGGGCATGGGGATGGTTGTCAGAGGCACCAGCAGCCCCAGAGCAAATACCTGCACTTGGAGCTCATGCATATTCCTTGGGTTTAGGTTTAGCCCTTGGTTTCCACCCAGATTGTTTCCCACAAAGTGTGGGGCCACAGCCCTTGCAGGACACAGCATTCAAAGCCCTGGCCAAAGAGATGTTTCCTGTTTTCCAAATTCCCCTGTCCAGATGGGTTGCTGGACTGGGCTCACGATGGAGCCGGGCTCCTCTTGCCCTGGGCATGAGGAGGGGACATGTCTGTCCCCAGGTTCTCAGCACAGGTGGCCCTATCCCTGCTCTGCCCATTGACAGCCCAACTTCCCCGGGAAATTTCACGGTGCTCATTACACTCCACAACCGAGAACAACAAGCTCCTTTCGGAGAGGGTGCTTGTGAAAGCAGGGTGGAGGCCAGGGCTGGCACACCCTGGAGAACACCCTTAAATACCCTGCCAAACAGAAACCCAGCCAGGCCACAGGTTTCCCCGACCCGCTGCTGCCAGCAAGCAAACACCTTCCCTCGTCCCTGCCCGTGGCAGCCGAGCAGTCAGACACGGGGCAGGTCCTGTGGGCACTGTGGCAGTGGATGGCAGCATCTCCCCATCAGGGAATGAGTGATCCTTGGGATGGTCATCCCCTAACACCCCAAGCCACAAATGCCAAACTGTCCTGTGCCAGTGTTAAATGGGGCTTCCCAGTAAAACCAGTCCCTGGTTTAGCTTACACAAGGGTGCAGGAGGTGGTGTGTAGGGAGCAGAGCGAGGCCAAGGGACTGTGCCAGCAGTCTAGCCACTGCATGGACACCCTATCCTCAGCCAGACATCCCCAGTTCCTCAACTTTGAGCATCACTCAAAAGTGATCCTGAGTCACAGGCCATGCCTTTATTTTCTGGCAGCTGCTGCAAGGATGGAGGCATTGGCACTCATTAGCACTCAGCTGCTTTTTTCTCCCCACCCTTAGGAGCTGGCTGGACCCCCAGACCACAGTCTGGGGGAGGGAGAAGGCAGGGGATGTTTTGGGGATGTCCAAGGTTGTACGGTGATTCTGCTGGAGATGCAGGTTTGCAGGTATCAAGTGAGCATTGCAGCATTCCTGCTTGGCTGCTGGGTACCACATCTGGCCCATGGGGACACAGCTGCTTCCCCAAGCTGACGGTGGCATGGTGATTATTGGCTGCTTCCCTGGGATGGCACGTGTGCTCTGCCATGTCACGTGGGACTGACATGGGAACCGAGAAAGGACATCACCCACAGAACACCAGGTAGGTCCTACAGGCAGAAGGGAGGAATGTGCCTTGGGCTGGAGCACCTAGTCCTCAGCCCTGCCTGATGCTCCTCTTTCCCAGCCTTGCCTGGAGCTGGTGACAGCCACAGTGCCCACACTGGAGGGTGACACTGGGGTCCGGGACCTGCCAGGCCAGTGCAGGCCATTGCACCCCACTTGCTTTACTGTTTCCTGCCCATCCCATCAGGGATTCATTTCCTGGGCCAGCAGCTGAGTAACACATGGCTGTAGGAAAGTGGAGGGCCAGGACAGGACTGAGGGGAAAGGGGGTCCATGTGTGGCACCCCTGGCATGGCCTGGCTTTGCTGTGCCTTGCACAGTGTCTCCCAGCAGCCCAATACAGGGCTGGATGTGCCACCAATACAGCCTGGTATGGATGCAGCACCTCGCCTTGAAACTGCTTTTGGGACCCTCCATGGCTATTCCCAAAAACAAAGTGCCCCAAAAGGCAGCAGCATGGACACAGATCAGTGTGTTTGTGACAGCGCTGCTGGGCTGCTGGGAAAGCAGGAGAGGTGGAGGGTCATTTTATTTTAATTCTGGCTTTAGGTATTAACAGGGCGAATAATTTTCTACATTTGCTTAATGCAATTCAAAAATATGAGCAAAATGTCAAGCAATGCCATGGATTCTGCCATCAGTTTTCTCAGGGCTGGAGCGAACTCTCTGGTACCCATTGTCCTGTTACCCATCACCCCAGCTTGCTCCCAACAAAGAGCACAGGGACACATCTGCAGATGGCACTGAGCATCCCAGGGGGGAGCCAGGGCAGAGCAGGGTGTGGGGCATCACTGGTACCCCAGACCCATCTGTCTGGATTCATCCCACTGAACACTGACAGTGCTGCTGGGAACAAGTGTACTTTGAGCACAGGCACTGCCTGATCGTTCCAGGTCATCATCCAGATCATCATCATCCCCAGCTGCTGAATGTCCCTGGTCCCCCATGGCACCCAAACTCCTGGCTTGCTCTGGCAGAGCCCTGAAAGCAGCAGTGAGGATGGGGTCGTGCCCAGCACTGCTCATGGAAATGCTGAAGCTGGAGGGAAACTGAAACCAGGAAACCGTTTTAGGAGGACTTGAATCAAGCCCAGTGATGGAGCTGACTCTGTGCCACTCCACATGCTGGGGTGATGGTACTGAGCAGCCAGATACCCCAGCACCACAGCATCCCCTATGTGAACGAGGGATCAGCTCAGCAGTTCCAGGGGTGACAGATCAGATCAGCAGGGGCACATGGGTCCCAGGGGGCACGGTGAGTGGGAAACTCTCAGTAGCTGGGACAATACTGACACCAGCTCCTTGGTAGCACCACTAAATGGGACCATTTGCTCTGCTGGGGCAAACACTGGCACTGCAGGATTGATGCCCTGTACATCCTGTCCTGGATGCTTTGGTGGGAGAAAGCTGGGAGGCAAAGGCACAGAGGAAGCTGTGGGACCCTCAGCTGGC